GTGTCCATGTGGGTATGCAAGTGCATGTGTGTGTGTGTGTGCTTGTGCATGTGTGGGTATGAGCACATGTTAGTGTGCTCATGTGTGGGTATGTATGTGCTCGTGAGTGTTCCCATGTGTGTCTGTGTGCATGTCCGTAGAGTATGTGTGCGTGGGTAGATGTGTGTGTGTACATCTTTGCGTCACCTTCATTCCTAAATGTTGCCATCTTTCCCTCTTCCTTACCGGGGGACGTTTTTCGCAGTTCCAAACATCATTTGCAGTGTAGCTCCCAATGAGAGCACGTCTCACCTGCAAACTTCAGTTGATTAGAACTCTCAAGAAAGTCATTTTCCAGATGGGTTTTGCTAGTTCATTGGCTCCTATTGGGATACGCTTGGAGGACAAAAGGCCGTGCCGTGTTCACACTCACTATTTCCTGCAACGCCTCCCATCGAGGATTGAATCATGCCTGTTGGAATTGCAGCACCAAATATTTTTCAATTAACCATTCCCGTGTTCATTTTGGCAGTGCCACCGGTGTTTCTCTGGGCAGTATGGAGCATCTGAATGCAATTTCATCCTTTTTGTTTTTGTTTTTGTTTTTGTTTTTTGTTTTTTGCCTGGCTGATCACCGGAAGACACTCAGTGTGATAAATGGTGCTCCGGGCAGGCTGGGCTGGGCTGGTAGGTGTGTGGCTGTTGGCCCTGCTCTGAGGTGTCCCTCATGGCTGGCCCTGAGTACTGCTGGCGTCTGCGTGTCTGGCACCATGCCCCCTCTGAGGAGCGCGGAGGTCCTGCCTGGCTGGCTCTGCCCAGGGGGAAGCGCTCCAGCTGGAGCCGGCGGCACCAGGACCTCCTCACGCCTGCAGAGCCAGGGCAGGGCAGGTAGGGAGGCACGGCTCGGGGAGCATGAGGGCTTGGGGTGCCCCAGGTCAGCATCGTCAGACCCCACCCAGGTCATTCCCGCCTGTCTCAGTCCCCCAGAAGCAGGGGCGCACTCCAGGAGGGACATGAATCAGGAGTCCTCATTGCTCATCCTGAAAATTGCTCCCGTTTGCTTCTGTCCGTTCTTTGTGTCAGGCATGGCCAACCAGAGAGTGGCCAGAAATAAACATGGCCTCTGCCCCCTAGTTGGGCAGGAGGTGATTACAGGGTTCCAACCAGGAGAGAAGCATGGCAGGATGGACAGTGGAGGGAAGGAGGCTCCAGCTGGTGAGATCAGAGGGGGCTTCCTGGCAGAAGTGGCGTGGGTCTGAGGGATGCTCGTTAGGAGAGTGCGGCCCAGAACTTCCCCGTCAGGTCTCCACGGCAGAGAAGCAGCTCAAGGACTTGGAAACATAAGGACTTGGAGCGCTCCGAGGGGGGTGCTGGGGAGAGTGGCAGAGCCTGGGGCGCCCGGCAGCCTGAGCGGGCACCGTGGGGAAGGGGGTGGTCTTGGAGAACAGCAGGGGCCCTCTGGAGGCTTTTAAGTTGGCAGGAGCAGGAGAAGTGACTTGATTAGATTTGCATCTTGAAAAGATCACTCTGGCTGCCGTGCCAGGAACCGGCTGGAGGCTGGCCAACGTGGGGGTGAGGAGAGCTACCAGGAGGCCTCCTGAGCCCAGCCCGGTGAAAGGGGGTGCAGGGGCCAGCAGGATGGGGGCCCGGGGGCAGTGAGAATTCGAGCCCTTCGAGAGGGACTCCGAGCGGGGTTGAGGGCAGAGGGCTCACAGGTGGCTCTGCATTGGGCTTAGGTAACGGGCGCCGTCACTCTTCTGGCTGTTGTTGCCGCTCACCGGGACTGTGCTAATGGCGCTAACACGGCAGTGAATCATCCCCCTCCGGACTCCCGCTGGGGCCTGAGTCTGCCTGTTTCTACCAGTGTACAGACGAGGGGAAGAGGCTCAGGGGTGAGCAAGGCGGGCAAGGCTGGGTCCTAATGGCTGGCGCTCTCTGCTCAGAGGTGTCACCGGGACTGGGTCCTGAGCTGTCTGGAGAAGGAAGCCCCCCTGGCGTGGCTGAACCCAGGGCCTGGAGAGCTGCTGCAGGCTGAGGCCAGGAGTTTTGACGCTGGTGTGCCATGCCAGACCAGGAGCTGGACGTGGTTTGTTAAATGCTCAGACCCAGTTCCTGGCTGGGGGAAGCTTGAGCCTGGCAGCCACACCAGGACAGCCAGCGCTCCCGCAACCAGGGCAGATCTGCTTGGCGGGAACCCTTTGCTTGTCCAGGACAGACCGGCCAGCCCCTCCTCTGAGCCACAGTGCCAGCCTCCTGTGGGCTTCATTTTATTTCCTGGAACCTGGGAATGATGGCCGAGCCCATGGGGGCGATGCGAGGGCTCATGACACTTATCAATCCCAGGAGAACATGTGGTCTCTTTGCTGCCCATAGATTCCCCGCCCCCCCCCGCCCCCACCCAACCATCCACGGACAAGCGGCAGGAACTGACCAGGCACACAGACTGAGGCCTGAAAGCAGGACCAGCTGGGCAGCTATGCCCTGTCCTTCCCCTGCCCACCCTCACCACTGGACTGCTCAGATGGATGGAATATTTGGGACAGGCCACTTGTCCGTGCTATCCCAGACATCTGGGAGCTGACCTTTGACCGGGAGGCCTTTGACCAGCTGGCCCTGCCTGCTGTTGTTCTGTGTCCCATGGCGTGTGGACAGGAGACAGGACAGATCTCCTTCTGCCCTCTCTCCTGCTCTCTTTCCCGGCCCCAAGAGCACAGATGTCTCATTGGTCAGGCCAGCTTCATCTGCCACAGGCCTAGTCCCCCGCAAGCCCATTTGTATCAGCAAGGTAACGGCCAGTGTGGGCCAACTCCAGGTGGTGATGGGAATCAGGAACTCCGGGCATGGGGGCCGATCAGTGGGAGGGTTGGCACGGTGCCCAGGCATGGGCAGAACCAGGAGCCCATAATCTCATAGGAGGCAGCAGGAGCAGCCTGTGGGTCCACCACTGAGGCCGCTTTCCCCACTGTGCCCATGTCCTGCATTCCGTCCTGCAGTGGAGGACACTCCCTTACTCCCCTGCCTGCCCAGGCTATTGCCTCCAGCCATCAGGAATGAAATTTTGTTTATATATTTGCAGGGGAGAATGGGGGGGGGGGCGTACCCAGCAGTGTTAAGGGCTCACTCCTGCTGCTGTGCTCAAGGATTATTCTTGGTGGGGCTCAGGGGACCGTAGGTGCTACCGAGGATTGAGCCCAAGAGGGCCACATGCAAGTGCCTCACTGCTGTGCTGTCTCTCTGGCATCTTCCATGGAAAGGGCCATGCAGGCTGGCACTGCAGGCTCCAGAGAGGAGGGCCAGGGACTGACCCGTGGTGGTGGTGGGTGCGTCCTGGGTGAATCCAGAGTGTGGAAGCTCTTGGTTAAGTTGTTTGGATAACTCGCGGGGATCAGATCCTGAGCCCATCTAACAAATAGGACTTTGAAGGTGGGCCGAGAAGGGCTTTGAGTTCCTTGCCCAAGGGTCCACCCAAGCCTGCTGACCCTCCCAGACCTGAGTGGCAATCGGAGTGGGCAGTGCGGGAGGGCTTGGTGTGGACAGCCCAGGAGGATGGTCTGTCTGTGGTTCTGAGTGGTGCTGCAGAGAGAAGCAGAGGCGCTGGGTTTCCCCAATGCTTCCTCTCCTGAGTGACCACGGCAGCCGACACCCGGAGCCTGGACCCCTTATGAGAGCTTGGGGCTCCTCACTGTGAAGGGCAGAGCTTCCCACAGCTGAGAGCCAAGAGGGGGCAGGGTGCATGTCACCTGGACAGGAAGTGCCCCTCATCCCTGCCAGTGGGACACACCCAGCACACGTTCTTGGAGTCTCACTGGTTCAACCTCTCCTGCAGCGCTGGGCTCAGCTGCCCTGTCTGGAGGGGATGACATGCTCTGCCAAGCCTCAAGGATGACGTTCCACTGCCGAGAGCTGTGCTCTCTGCTCGCTGGAAGGCTGCAGAGAAGGGCATCGGGGTGCCTCTCTGCAAGGTGGGCAGGGGAGCAGCCCCAGCCCTGCAGAGGCCCGGCAGCCCCCATGACGCAGAAGATAGATGAGCTGATGAGACAGTGGTCAGGGATCAGGCGATTGCAGATCAGACTTGCTGGAATGGCCGGGGACCCACACTGTTCCAGAGCCACCCTCCCTTCCTCCCTCCCTCCCTCCTGGCCCAGCCAGCTGCCCCCAGCATGTGGCTCTATGTTTCAGGGACATGGAATTGGCATTTAGAAGTTAAGAGTTTCAGGGTCAGAGCAATAGTACAGTGGGATGGGCGCTTGTCTTGGACCTGGGTTCTGTTTCCAGCATCTGGTCCCCCGAGCACTGCCAGGAGCGATTCCTGAGCACAGAGCCGAAAGCGAGCCCTGAGCACCACCAGGTATGAATCCAAGACTAACAATAAGAGAAAAGATGTTAGGAGCTTAGTGACTCCTTGGAAGGAGAGATGGACACTCAGAGACCCCCATGAGGGCGACTTGGTCTGGTGAACGGGGAAGATGGCCCCGGAGCCCGACCGAGTCCCTGCTGCGGGCAGGTGCTCAGATTCCTGCACGCCCCCAGTTGTACCTCTGTCAAAGGGCCTCGTGCTTCTCAGAGAGGCAGAATCGGGCACCAAGTCAGCGCTCAGCATCCTCGGTGTCGCTCCCTGTCTGGCATGAGTGAGGCCTGTGTACAGCTCTCAGCAGATGTGCGTCTTCCATGTTGAGGAGCTCAGTTTCCTGCTCTGCTCCCAGAGACCAGCACCGTCTGCCTTGCTCTCCCTCCCCAGGGCTTTGCTGCAGCCAGGAGTGCCAGCGAGCTGGTTTCTCCACACGACCCTCACTGCAGTGATGGTGCAGGTGCATCTGCATTGTCACGGGCCCGGGCATGGCCATGGTGCCCCGCACCAACAGCAGGCTCAACAGGGCCTGTGCCCTTAGTGCTCTCTGCCTCTGTAGCCTTAAGCAAAAGACTCACCCCCTCACCCCCGTGATGTCCACAGAGCGTTCCTTGCCTCTGCTCTTCTGGCCCTTGGCTGCAGTGCTCACATGCCCCTGTCCTCTCTCTTACAGAAAGTTTGCACCAAGTGTGGCATCGAGGCCTCCCCCGGCCACAAGCGGCCCCTGTGGCTGTGTAAGATCTGCAGTGAGCAGAGAGAGGTAGGCCTGGGGTGGTGGAGTGGAGGGGCGGGGGGGGGGGTGGAAGGTGATGGGGTTGATGAGTGAGCTGGGGGAGAGGGGTCTGGCCTGCTTACATATAGGGAAGTTCACATTTGGTCTGGGTCTGGGAGGGCTGTTCCAGCTGGCCAGGGGCAAGGGTGGGGCCTGCTGGCCCTGTGGGGTCCAAGGTTTGGGCGGGGACCTCCTGACGCTGCGTGATGCGGGATGGGAGTGCGAGGGCTCAGCTTATAGCAGTAGCTGCCCCAGATTAGGTGTTGGCCTGGCAGCACATCCCTTCATGGCCCCGAGATGGGTGCTGTAGGCATCCCCTTGGACTGATGAGGAAATGAGGCGCAGTGGGACGATCACGGGAGTGGGTGGTTGAGCACACCTGGGTGAGCCACGAGTCCTGCTGTGACCCACCCTGTGGTCAGTCTCTGGGGAAGGAAGGGAGCTGTGGGGTCTCGGGCCGCCACTCTGGGGCTGGGGAAGCCGCATCTAAGCTCGCAGTGGCCAGGGGCGAAGCATGCCCAAACTATAGCAGGTGGGCAGCGGCTGCAGGGGACGGATGGGCGGGCACATAAACACCTGGTTTTCCACATCCAGATTTTTTAAATTAATTTGATTTGGGGGCTGCACCAGTGATGCACCAGTGATGCTCAGGGCTTACTTACTCCTGACTCTGGGCTCAAGAATCACTCAGGGGACCATCTGGGGTGCCAGGGATCAGAGCCAGGTTGGCTGCAGGCAAGGCAAACACCCTACCCACTCTACTGTCTCTCCGGCCCCAGATTTCTCAGGCATGTCTGTCTTGACACGTCATCATTGTTCCATCTTCACTTTTCTGGAAACCCTGTTGGCCACATTGCAAAGCCTCTGTGGCCCCCAGCCACTCCCTCTGTCTCTTCCTCTTTTGCGGGTGAAGGCTTGGGTTCTGCCCTGGTCCCGCCCTGGTCTCCGGCTGGCACTGACTCCCAGCCTCCAAGCAGTCAGCTGTCCCCTCCCTAAGCTTTCCTCAGGGGTTTCCTCTCTCAGCTGAGCATCACTTCCAAGTTCCAGTCCTGGACACCCGGAGACACCTCCCATCCCCCCACCCCCTCACCCCCCACAGCAGGGCCTGCAGTGAGGGGCAGGTCAGTGAGCAGCTGTTGGCCTGAGGGATGATGAGATTATTCCCCATCAAATCCCAGGAGTCTACTGCTGTCTGTGCTGCTTCTAGCCTTCAATTTTGGAGATAAGCCCAAGGCTCCAGAGATAAGCTGGTGCTGCACTCACTGGCTGGCTTCCCCCGCTCCTCCCCAGGGGGACCCCTCCTCACACCTGCCTCCCAGCCCAGAACTCAGTAGGCTGAGCCTGCAGTTCCTCCTAAGAGCACTGTGGTGGGAGTTTTTGCTCTATTGAGATATGTCTAGGTTTGAGGTGGGTTTTCATTTTTCTGTTCTGGTTTTATTATTTGCTTGTATGTTGCAGCCACACCCATCAATGCTCGGGGCTCACTCCTGGCTCTGTGCTCAGGGCTCACTCCTGACTCCGCGCTCAGGGCACACTCCTGACTGTGCTCAGGTGACCATATGGAGTGCAGGAGGTCGAACTTTAGGTGAGCTGCATACAAAGCAAGTGTCTTCCCCACAGTACTCTCTGTCATTTTTTTTTCATGTCACTTTTTTGAAGATTAGCAAAGCAGCCCAACTAATGTTCTGTCTTGGCTGGAGGGCTCCTATTTTTCTGCCATGAATACCAGTCTCTATCTCACAGATGCAGCGAAAATTCAGCAAAGTCCTTGAACTCACAGTGGGTGCTCTGTGAACACCAAAGGCCCCCAGCCAGAAATCCCCTTTGACTTTGAGACCTTTCTAGTATTAGTCTATTTGAATAATTGCAGCCTCCAGCCCCTCTGCCTCCCCCCCCCCAACTCCCCCTACCTGCATTTAGTCAATGGGTCCCCTGAGGGGGGATTCTGCAATACTGTATCTTGTGTGAGGGGGATTCTGCAACACTGTATCTTGTGTGAGGGGGATTCCGCAACATTGTATCTGATGTCAATGGAGGGCCTAGCTCATGTGGTAGATAGAGCACAGGCGAAGTACCTGTGAGACCCCAGCCCGCCACCAATCTGGCCCTCCAAGCTCTGCTGGGTGTGATCCCAAGCAGGGAAACATCGGCATCTCACGGGAGACACCTGAGCAGCATGAAGTGATGGTCACAGCCAGGCTGAAGGAGAACAGAGAGGAAGGAGCTGCCAGGAATAGAATGAAGGGAGATGGAGTCAACCATAAATGTTTGCGGGGCTGTGGGGGAGATGCCCTCCCAGCTCCACGCTGGGGGGGCACCCCTTCCCGTGCTCCTTCGCAGTCCCCAGAAGCCCCTTCCCACCTTCATTCCAGCCTGATCTCCAGAGCCTTCCAATGCCCAGAAAACTCTAAAACAGCTTAGCGTGAATTTTCTTATCTCCCCTAAGGCAGAGACTTGCTGCTGAATTCTGCTATCAGCTTGTCCTTGGGTTTCTAGAGGCCAATAAAACACAGAGAGATCAAGAGAGTTCTGTTCCCTTAGCGGCAGCAGGCTGAGGGGACATGGGGGGGCCCCCCAGGGAATGGACATGCCTCAGGGCTGGATGCCTGGGGCTACTGAAAGGGGGGCATGTTCCTGCCGGGTTTGAGTCATTGACTTCCTAATGCCTTTCTTTCTTAGAAAAATATCTGATCTCTGTGACAGAGAACTACAGAGAAAGGCCACTTAGGATGTCAGCCCCCGGGGATGAGTGTTGAGTCTGAGGGAAAGTGGATTCCTGGGGCTGGGGAGACAGGACAGGGGTCGAGGTGCTTGCCTTGCATGCAGCCCATGTGGGTTCAATCCCTGGCACCTCATGGGGTCCTCATAAACCCCGCCAGCTATAATCCCTGAGCACAGAGCCAGGAGCAAGCCCCCAGCACTGCTAGGTGTGTCCCGAAAACAAACAAAAAGGAAGTTGGGGATCTGATCCACAACAATGGCCACGAATCTTCCTCCTGTTGGAAGGGATTGAATTTCCTGGGACTGTCTCAGACTCAGCTCCGATGTCTCCTGGGACTGTCTCAAATTCGGCTCCAATGCCCCGTCTCATCTCTGGGACTGTCTCACACTCAGCCCTGACGTCCTGTCTCATCTCCTGAGACTGTATCACACTCAGCCCCAACGGCCTGTCTCAGTTCCTGGTACTATCTCACACTCAGCCCTGGCGCCCTGTCTCATCTCTTGAGACTGTCTCATGCTCAGCCCCGACACCCCCCTCTCATCTCCTGGGACTGTCTCACTCCTGGGACTGGCTCCTGCCCCCTGAGGAGGAGTTTGCTCTCTGGCGCATTTCGCCCCTGGGCACCTGCACCTCCTCCCCTTCTCAGGTGCAGAAGGTGGACAAGCAGTGCCCTGAGCCCTGGCAGGTCATGGGTGGCCAGGCCTCGCTCAGGGGAAGGGGGGTAGAGATGGTTTGGGGGGGGGAGGAGGGTGCAGGACTGAGGGACACTTCAGCAGAGGCCTGGAGCTCCCCAGGGCTCCTTGGAGTAGAAGTGGAGGAAGGTGAGTGATGGGCGGAGACCTCATCCAGTGCAGACAGAGGGACAGAACCAGTAAAAGAGAAGAAATCGGAGATGTTTATTGGGGTGCACTCCTGTGCAGAACCTACTGGGCCCTGGTGAGGCTGGGGTAGAGCCACGGCCTGGAAAAGGCCAAGTGGGATTTTAAGCTGTCTTGGTTGGGAAAAGGGAACAGAGACCAGTGGGAGGGTGCGCTTAGTCTGGCCTTGTTATCTGTAAGGGACTGGTGTGAAGAAATACAGAATGCAGCCTGGTGGCCTCCTGGGGCCAGGTGGGCCGTAAATCTGTGCTGGCTGATGTTTGATCCTGGGATGTCACTTCTCATCAGCCCATCACCATCTGTTCCCGAGTGGTGCCATTTGATCTGAGCAAACCTTACAGTGAAGGATGGGGCTTGTGTCAGTCCTGAGGTGTCCCTTGTGAACTTTGGTTTTTACTCAGAAATGGGGTGTCTCGGAGGGCCTCCTGTGATAGAGACATGCTCCGAACCCCAACTCACTTTCAAAAAGAGTTTTCAAAGACTCTCTGCTGAGTCTCATGGCAGAGTTTCAGATCTGCTTTTGTTTCAGTCTTTCATTTCTGTTTGGAGGTCATACCAGTTAGTTTGGGGATCACATCCAACAGCGCTCAGGGCCTACTCCCAGCTTTGTGCTCAGGGTTTGTTCCTGGAGGTGCTCAGGGGGCCATGTGGTACTTGGGATTGAAGCCGGAACCCTGGGTTCCCACATGCTACCCTGCACTCCATCCTCTGAGCTGTCTCTCCAGTCCTTAAGTTCTTCACAGTCCTTTCTATTTGCGTTATCTACATTTTACTCTTTCCTGTTTGGGTATTTTAGGGGCGAAGATGTGCACCCAGTGGTGCCCGGGGCTTACTCCTGGCTCTGCACTCGGGGGTCCTTCCTGGTGGAGATCAGGGGCCCATATGGGGCACTGGGGATCAAAACCTGGTTGACCACACACAAAGCAAGTGCCCTGCCCACTCTACTATCTCTCCAGCCCCTTTATTCTTTTTTTTTCTTTTGTTTTTGAGTCACACCCAGTGGTGTTCAGGCTTACTCCTGGCTCTGCATTCAGGGTTCACTCCTGGTGGGCTCAGACCCTAGGGGATGTTGGGGATCGAACCCAAGTTAGTCATGTGCAAGAGAAGAGCCGTACCTGCTGTACTATCTCTCCAGCCCTGCTTCTACTCTTTTCTGAGGGTAAAATTGGTATGGATCCTAGAAGAACATTTGCCGTATGTAGAAAAACATAGAGGAAAAAATACACTCTAAAAATTCAAACTCTGACCATCTATCCGGAGACTGTCATGGTTAGCATTTTGTCAAGCTAATTCTAATCTTTATTGCTTGCAGTGTTGAAACTAGGTTTTGAAATGAACATTATATCATAAGTCGTTCCACTGTAACCAATAAATCTTTGTGAGCATTC